TGAAAATTTCATGTCATTAGCACCTCTAGTAATATATTTACTGAGAAAAATGGTGACGTGTTCAATACTTATATTACCTGCTGTATGTTTGGTGTCATTTAAGGTTTGTGTTGCTCTTAAACAGTGAATCAAAGGGATTTTTACACCCTACAATTAACAGRTTGGTTTTAATAAACATTATATAGGGCACATGTGTCCAACTCAAGGCCTGTGGGCCCGATATGGCCTTCATTAACATTTTATGCGGCCCCAAAGCTAAAATTTTGAATGTGAAATACTTTCAAGTTTCCTATCGCATGAAATTCAAAATTCTTTTATTGGTTTTTAAATGAATGAATGGTTTTATTTGTTCGGGACAGTGTGCGATAAAACATAATTTGATGCATTGCACCAGATTTAGCCTAAGGCTACATCTGTAGCCCCATCAAACAGTAAACACAAAACAACATCCAACAATAAAATAGAAAAAAGAGAGGAAAAAAACAGAAAAGTAAAAATAATATAAAATAAAACATTTTGTTATTAAAAAATACATAAAACACCCCACCCCACTCTCCAAACATAAAATCATGTCTATTTCCACCCCACCCTCCAACCCACACAACCAGAAGCAACTCTAAAATCAATTACCCAGTGCAATTCAACTATTGCAACATTGGGTAGATTTAAGATATTTTTTAAAGATTATTTTTAAAACTAATAAAAGAACTACAGGTTTTTACTTGATCAGGAGCAGCGTTCCACTGAGCGATGGCTTTAACCAAAAAAGCTGCTTGACCAAAGGCTGAGCGTTGAGCAGGAACTTCACAGTTCTGCCTGGATGTGCTAATTTATCACAAAGAAACAGCTGCACGATAATAAACAAATTTTTGCAAACAGATTGGTACTAAACCGTTTAAAATTTTATACACTGTTTCCATWTTTGAGAAAACTAAAATTCTCAAAAGAAAAGAAGTTATGTTTCTGCACAATCTGAMAATGATGGTGTCTTGTTGTCAAATATTTTGAGGGCCTGTTCAAGACTCTACAGGTTTTATTACTGACAAAATGGTTTGTCAAATGGCCTGGCCCAGCTTATCTTCAGAACCTTCTGCATGACTGTTCCTCTTCTAGAACACTTGGGTCAAATAATAAACTGCTTTTACATGTTCCCAGAACCAGACTGAAAGGCAGAGGAGACTGGTGCTCCTAATTTGTGCAACAACTTACCATTTAATATTAGATCTGCCCATAATCTGGAACACTTCAAATCTCTTCTGAAAATTATTTTTATTCTCTGACATTTTTTATAAGGGTTTACATTGTAATCTATGTGTCTTGTCTTTAATTAATTTTTTTACTTCAATATGTTTTTATCAGTTGTTGTATGAATGCTGTACAGTGTGGTGCAGTTGACTGCTATTTGTTTAAGTGCTTTATAAATAAAGTTGACATTGACACTGACATTCAATGCAAGAAAACTAAGTTTGAAATTTACTGTAATCTTTGATTTTGGTGTGAAAAGAGCAACAGAAAATCATCTTTGTCTTTTTCTGTATTATGTTCTGATTTTTAAAATAAAATAATTTGATCTTTAGTGAGTTTAGTCTTTTTGTACCTGCTTTGCTGGATTGTGATAAAATGTATCTTCAGAATATAATACATGAAAAATTTGTTGATAGAGAGTAAAGCATAAGAAATGAATGCTAATGATGAAATTTCATATTTTTTCTTTATTTGTTGGGTGATGCATTCTCTATTTACTATATAAAACATATTTTGAAAAAGGTAATTTGTAAATCTATAAGAATAATTTGTTATATGACATTTATTCATTAAATATTGACAGAAATTGGCCCTAGGCTTGGAGCAAGTTTTGATTTTTGTCTCCTTCGTTTAATTGAGCTCAACACCCCTGATGTTGGGGTTAAATAGCTTTTTAGTAAATTATAGTTTTACCAAACTTGTCACTGTCAAGCATTTAGTCTGAGAGGCACTAAACTGCATTGTGATAACATAAACAACAGTTTAACAATGCATGGAAACACATTTTTTATATATAAAGACAACAAAATTATAATTTATTTGTTTAATTATGGCAGAAACAGCTGGTTAGTTGGACTAATAATGATAAACTTTTTAGTTTCTCTGAAAGGGAGACTTTCTAAAGAAAACTCAAAGTGCATTATTCAGTCTTAAAAGTTAAAAGAAACTGTGTGTCTAGATTTATTTCTCCTACTGACTATTTAATCTGCCTCATCGTTCGGTGTCACTTCCTCTGTCGAATATTAATGAACAATCTGATTTTTTTTTTTACCTTTTTGTAGTCATCAGAATCTCCACTGGCTCGTCTGAAACACAAGGAAGTGTTTTAGGTTCTGCTGACAACGTTCCACGCTACAAAACGTTTCCCAGCTTGTTCTGTAGAAGGAAACATGATTCTCACCGATGGACTTGCTCTTGTTTTTGTGCATAAGGCAGAGGACGATCAGGCTGAGGATGAGGAGGGCCATGAAGGCCATGGCTCCTCCTGTGACGATTCCAAACATGGGAACCTCCACACGAGACTGCAGGAACTCTGCAGAGAGACGGAGACTTAAAAGAACTCTTTCTTTTTACAGCGTAATACCAATAAAATTTATCATTTTAGTTCAAGTTGGCAAACAGAAAAAACAACAAAAGAGCAGAGAAATTATAACATCCATCACTTCCTCTGAGCTTTCCTACCATATTTAACACATCTGTACAATTATTAAGAAGGGGAATTGCAGGTTTACAGTGGTGAATGTGAAACAATATTTAGTGGGCAACAAAGTTTTCTGTCTGTGTCTTTGTGTGTCTGTCTGGTACCAAAATATCTCAAGACTAAGAAGGAATTTTTGGTCATGAGACTGTGAGAGTTTCACTAAAACTCTAAAATAATCTGGTTGTACAGCTACAACTCATGAACTATTGGCATTAACTTATTTTATGATGGTTGCCACGTCTACTCAACCTTTGAAAACCGTAAATGGCTTTGAACTTGGTAGGTTTTAGAAATATTGAATTAAAATTTGATGTGGTAGAAGCTGAGGCATTCACAAAACCTACTCTGCGTGATCTTGCAAAAATTACGTAAGATTGTTAATGATGTTCAGGGTTTGACCCATAGAGAAAAACGTCACATTAAATACAGCAGGTAAAATAAGTATTGAACGAGTCAACATTTTTCTCAGTAAATATATTACTAGAGGTGCTAATGACATGAAATTTTCACCAGATGTCGGTAACAACCCAAGTGATCCATACATACAAAGAAATCAAACCATAAATGTCCAGAAATGAAGTTATTTGTAATAATGTGGAATGGCACAGGGAAAAAGTATTGAACACATGAAGAAAGGGAGGTGTAAAAAGGCATGGAAAGCCAAGACACCAGCTGAACTCTCTCAGTAATTAGAAAGCAAGCCTGCCCCTTGTCAGTGCAAGTTAATATCAGCTGGTTCAGTCCCAAATGATGGCCATGTATCACACAAGAACCGTCTGATGATGGGTAAAAGTAAAGAGCTCTCTCAAGACCTTCACAACCTTATTGTTGCAAAGCATAATGATGGCATCGGTTACAGAAGAATGTCTAAACTTCTGAAGGTTCCAGTGAGCACTGTTGGGGCCATAATTCAGAAGTGGAAAGAACATTATTTCACCATAAACTGACCACGACCAGGTGCTCCTCACAAGATTTCTGACAGAGGAGTGAAAAGAATTATCAGAAGAGTTGTCCAAGAGCCAAGGACCACTTGTGGAGAGCTTCAGAAAGACCTGGAATTAGCAGGTACGTTTGTTTCAAATAAAACAATAATTAATGCACTGAACCACCATGGCCTGTATGCACGCTCACCACGCAAGACTCCACTGCTGAAGAAACAGCATGTTGAAGCTCCTTTAAGGTTTGCTGCACAACATTTAGACAAGCCTGTGTAATACTGGGAGAATATAGTCTGGTCAGATGAGACCAACATTGAACTGTTTGGATGCCAGAATACACATCATGTTTGGAGGTCAAATGGCACTGCACATCAGCCCAAAAACACCATACCAACAGTGAAGTTTGGAGGTGGGAACATCATGGTGTGGGGCTGTTTTCAGCATATGGTACTGGCAAACTTCAAATAATTGAAGGAAGGATGAGTGGAAAAATGTACAGAGACATTCTTGATAAAAATCTGCTTCCATCTACCAGGATGATGAAGATGAAACGTGGCTGGACATTTCAGTAAGACAATGAGCCCAAACACAAAGACAAGGAAACTCTCAGTTGGTTTCAGAGAAAGAAACTAAAGCTGCTGGAATGGCCCAGCCAATCACCTGACCTGAATCCAACAGAAAATCTATGGAAAGAACTAAAGATCAGAGTTCATAGARGAGGTCCACGAAACCTTCAAGATTTGAAGACTGTTTGTGTGGAAGAATGGGCCAAAATCACACCTGAGCAATGCATGCCACTAGTTTCTCCATACAGGAGGCGTCTTGAAGCTGTCATTGACAACAAAGGCTTTTGTACAAAGTATTAGATAAATTTCAGTAAGTGTGTTCAATACTTTTTCCCTGTGCCATTCCACATTATTACAAATAACTTCATTTCTGGACATTTATGGTTTGATTTCTTTGTATGTATGGATCACTTGGGTTGTTACCGACACCTGGTGAAAAATTCATGTCATTAGCACCTCTAGTAATATATTTACTGAGAAAAATGTTGACGTGTTCAATACTTATTTTACCCGCTGTAACACTTAAATAATTCTGTGTTATATGAGCTCTATGGTTTGGCCAAAACAGCTACAAATTTGTCATTTTTCAGCTAAAGATCTTAGTTCAAAGTTCTTGTTATGCAAATCTTTAAAAAATGTTAAACTTTTCATCTATTTTTAATTCTATTCTGTTCTCTGAAAGTTTTTAACTTCTAGAAAGTAAAAACACATTTTTATTTATGTTTTACAACCCTACACTATATGCTAATTAGCTGCAGCTAATAGGTAGCTAGTAGGTAACCACCATCACCTGAACACACCTACTGCTGGTGCCACAATCTACACATAAGTCATATTATTGAAATAAAAAGGAGCCTTTTCGTGGTTAATTTTGATTTAAAAACATTTTACATTTAGCTAAATGCTATACAACATAATGATGCATTACACTTGATAGCAGGGCCACATTAAAGAGCTCACACAGTAGCAGGAGTATTTTGGTAATGAGAGACTCTTGGTTACTTAAATTACACTTGGTAGGAGGTTTTGGTGAGAAGCCATGACACTGCCTCTGTAGTGTTCATCTGACACCTCATTTTGCAAACGTTCGTCAGACGAGTGAAAGATAAACTGGTTCCAACAGCCTTCATGTTTGTGTCATTTCCTGGTGCAGCATAATTGAAAAGACACAAATTAGACAAGACAAAGTTGCAAATTGTACAAATTTGCAACTTTTAGATTGTAATTTTACATAGTTAACAAAAATGAACTGTTTTAGATCGACTAAAAAAGATGCAACAACTAAGTGTTGTTTTCAGTGTGACGGCTACAGACCAGCTATCTGACAACATTTCTGCTTTTGTAAAGATAATCTTCAGACCTGCTCATGATAAGGGAACCATAATCGACTGGCTTAGTAGCACCTGGCTGCTATAAATCCTTTATTTGCAATAAAAGCAGTGAGAATGTATTGTGCTTATGACAGTTTCTGTATTTCGTCACAATTTTTGTGGAATAAATCTTGACTCTGTGAGGTTTGGTAAGGCTCAAAGGTAAATGTTTGTGGGTGTACGTTCTGGTGTTCGACTCACCAGCCAGAGAGAGGTTGCTCTGCACCGCTCCCACACTGTTGCTGGCGTTCAGTGTGATGTTCCCTGATGAACTACTCAGCGTGACCCTCAGCGTGTGATTGGTCAGCCAGGGGTAGCTCCGTGAGTCCATGATGAGGAAGTCTGAGGTGTTAGCCACCGGCTGGCCCGACTGGTCGACAAAGGTGATGGTGGCGGGGGGGTTGGACCGCACCAAGGCGAACAGGACCAGGGAGAGGCCGGGGTCTGAGGTTTCACTGTAGTGGGCATTTATCCTGAGGATCTCTGGCCGGACTGAGACACAGAGGAGAGTGGCAGCTTTACTGACTCTGCCCGCTGAAATAAGGTGGATCTACTTACTGAGATCTGTCACTCAGACTTACACTGGACATTGAGCGTGACCGTGGCGTTGTAACTTTTTCCTGTGCTGGGGTTTGATGTGACACACACCAGCTCCCTGTCCCACTTTCTGGCTTGCAAGGAGAAGGTGCTGTTGTGATGGGTCCCAGGTCTCGAGATCTCGGAACCTTTGCGCCGCTTCAGCACCCGACGGCCCCGGTTCTGGGGCGGCTCCTTCTGCTGCTCTCCATTCAAGTACCAGGTCAGCAGAGGGGGGGCCCGGGGGTCCCAGCCGTCTGACTGGCAGTTGAATCTGTGTGTCATGTTCTCCTGGAGCGTCACAGCTGCCTGGTGTCGCCCGTCGATTTTTGGAGCTGGCTCAATTTTACCTGCGGTTAACAGCAAATAGCATTACTGAGAGATAAATGAACCAAAAGAGTCAAACTGTGGCATAGGCAGTATAGGCCAATACTAGTGGCTCCGTCCATCTAGGGGGCGCCACAAGTGGGGGACAAAAATATATATTTTAATACTTTTTATCAGAGTTGATGTAAGGATTCTGATGGGATTAGTTTTACCTAGGGACCACGCGCTGTTTATAATAATTGCGGAGATTGTATGTGTTGCTATTCCCGCGTGAATCGGCCATGTCAGTAATTTGTAAATAGGCGAATAGGCATCTCTTTAGTTTAGACCAAAATGGGTGGGATCCAATATGTAATTAGGTGTTTTTTTTTTTTTTCCTGGTTGCATTTTTATTTGCTGTTGGTGAAGAATGGACGCTGCATTGGGCAAGAAAACCCTATCGACCCGTAACGTACGGCATCGAAAAGAAAAGACCGAAAAGAAGGAGCAAAATCAGATGCAAATGGTGGCTCACATTATGCATTGCATTGTGCGGTAAGAATAGATATTTTTCTGTTTGTAGCTTTCTGGCTGCCGCCGGCAGTAACTCAGCACCGCGATGTGACTGTAAGGCAGCACGTTAATATCTGTAAATTTCAGCAAAATCTCAGGCTTCGGTCATCTTCTGCAAATACGCCACATAAAAGTAAACAGTGAGTAATTTGATCATTACATGTGGTCCTCAGATAAAGGTTATTCTGTGCAAATAGGGCTTAAGTCTGTAGAAAAATCACTGGTTACTCAGGTTTATGTAGGTACTTTGTTTGGTGTGTTTCTCAGCTGCTTTGTTACTACATGAGGTTATTTGGTGCAGAAGATATTTTGTGATAAAAATATGATACGGTCACATGGCGCTCAGTGTATAAACAGAAATGAAAATAAGGATAAAGATTTGAGATGAAATGTGTTGACAAGTCCTGTCCTGAGTCTGGTTTTCAGTGCTCTATCTTCATTAAATACTGATTTTATGTTGTTTTATTAATCCCAAGAATTTAAATGGCTGGAAAATACATAGTTTTAGGTTGATCTTTCACAACATTTTACAGGAAGTTGTACTCCTCAAACCCCCCTAGAACTGCTTCACTCCACTGCTGCTCGTTAACTTGAACAGGTGTTCCTCATTGCTGCCAGCGGATGTTGGCAGGTATGAGCTAGACTCAAATGATTATATTAACTACTTAATTTGGACAACCTGGTTTCTAAAAGTAAAAAAACAACATCAAAGACAAAACTATATAATTTGGTATCTTAAAATTGTCAGTGAGGTTTAGAAAGCTGTACAAGGGGTGCCAAATTGGCTAGGGGCGGCCCTGCTAATTCAAGATGGTCATCACAGCTAACGGACCTAAGGAAACGTAGCACAGGTGTGATAACTTTGACCAAAGTGTCAAACCTCCTCTGCATCCTGACCGAGAGTCATACCGGTGTGAGTATGTTGAGTGTAGTGACGTCACAGGAGAGGATTGTACCAAAGTGATCTTGTGGGGTTCAGTATCCCATTTTTTTTTTTGTAAAATAAGTTTTGATATTTACAACGATCAGTTTTCTGGTTAAATTTCAGTCGATATGCAAAAAAACAATCCGGCATCACACTGAAGTATTAGGCATTGACATCAGTCCTACCTGTCCAGGACAAGGCCAGTGTGTTGAGAAACACAACAGCTGAGCCTGATGTCCACACTCTGAGACACACACTCTTCATACTGGCCAAAGCACCGGCACACAAGCGTGCCTCTACCTGCTCAGACAAGAAAATAACTCATTATCGTGACAATTCTTTTCACAGTTACACAGAATTAAACGTGAGTTTTAACTATAACAAAAAATCTGAAAAAGTTGGGTAATTTTTAATGTAAATAGCAGCATTCAATGATCTGCAGTTTCTGATAAACCCACATTTTCATCAAAATGAACACATGAAATAACCAAGAAATTCTATTATTTTGGAAGAAAATACGGTCATTCTCAAATTAGTGCCTGCAGCACATCTCAAAAAGGTTGGGGTGGTTTTAGGGGTGCAGTAAAAGTAAAGTGGTACAAATAGGAAGCAGCTGGAAGAGAATTTTGCAGCTGATCGGGTTATTGGCAGCAGGTCAGTTAAAGGGATGGGTATAAACATTAGCATTTTAGAAAGGCTGGATTTCTCAGAAATAAAGAAGGGCAGAGGTTCTCCAGTCAGAAAAAAAAATGCATCCAAAAACAGTGGAACAACTTTAGAATAATGTTTATGTTAATATAAAATCATATGTGCTTCATAATAAAATAAAATAAATAAAAAACAATAATCTGGATAAATCTCTGAGCCTAAAGGAAGGCTGAGAGTCGATCCTGGATCTTCAGGTCCTCAGGCAGAGCTGCATTAAAGACAGGTCTGGTTTGGTTACTAACATCACTGCATGAACTCTGGAACACTTCCACTAATCACTGTCTGTCGTATACAAATGCTGGTTAAAGCTCTATCATATAAAAAAAACAATAAACATGTGTGGGCCAGTCACCAATAAGTAAATAAATAAAATAAAATTTTAAAAATGTAATTAAATCAAAATAATTTTTTATTATTTTTTTAACAATGCATTGGCCTTGAACAAGGAGCACCACAGAAATCAGGATAAATAAATAATAAAAAAAACTATATATTTTGATTTGAAAATAGATTTTATAGCATTTTTGAATTTGAGTTAATGATTTAATGCAGCGAAGTAAACAAACTTAAAACATGAAAAGATAAAAATACTTGTTCTTTCACAGAATGTTTCCCTTAATGTTTTCCTGGATGTCCGACTCCAGAGATTTTGGATTTGAGTAACTGAGGCCTCAGAGTAATGTTGTTGTTGCGAAGCCTTGAAACAGACTAAGACAAAGTGGAAAACTGTTCTGATTAGATAAAAAAAAAATATTTTATTTAATTAATTAATTAATTTATTTTTTGATGCCACATAAAGAGAAGACGAATCATCTGGCTTGTTCACAGCACACAGTTCAAAATCCTGCCTCTCTGATGGTATGGTGGTACATTAGTTTCTATTGCATGGGCAGCTACAGATCTGAAAATGCATCATCAATACAGAAAAGTATTTACAGGTTTTAGAACAACATATACTCCCATCTAGACAATGCCTTGTAATTTTCAGTAAGTACTAAACCTAATATTGCATCATTACAACAGCATGGCTGTGTAGTTAGAGTCCAGCTGTCAGACTGTGTCACATGAAATCAGAACCTCTTATTCATGTAAACCATTTGATGCATCATGAGAAAAAAATCCAGCAAATGTACAGACTGTAAACATTCAGTTGTAAACAAGATTCTACCCAAACTTTATGAGAAGTGTTTCTGTCAAGTTCTTTTTTCAAAAAAAAATACAGGTTTAAGAGATTTGCAAATCACTGCGTTCCATTTTTATTCACATTTGACGCAATGTCCCAACTTTTACAGATTTGAGGTTGATCACAATTTCTAACCAAGTCCATTGTTCAAATCCTACCTGGAGGCTCGATTTAACAAAGATTTCATGGTGTTATAGTTTTTAGGAACAAGCGTTTAAAATTGTTCCAGTTCTGCTGAAGTATTTTTGATGGTTGTGCAGCAAAGACAAAAACTATAATCTTGTTGAAATGGTTGCAATCAGATTCTAGACACTGTCACTGTTTAATAATTCACTGTTTTTTTTTTTTTTTTGTAGCTCTGATCTGCAGAGCAGGCCTTCATCACGTTAAAGCAGCCTGCTCGGATCAGTGTTCACACACAGGATGTTTAGTAATCTCTAGATCTCGCCTGCTGTGTGTGGGTCACGTGACGCGCCGGGGTACCCTGAAAGAAAGCAGGAAATGAGCCATGAATGTCGCACATGTAAACTCATATTCATTAGCTGCTAGAAAGATGCTGACAGCTGCCCGGCGCTCTGGAGAAGGATGCTGATAATCAGAGCGAATGGATGGATTTACACGTGTCAACACCTGGTCAGCCTGCATGCAGTTCTCCTGCTGACATTCAGAAGGAAGAAAGCCTCGCAGAATAAACACAGCGCTACCTCAGTCCTTTGTGCAGATTTGGTCCTGATTCAGCCTGCAGGAGCTCCATGGCAGAGGAGGAGGAGAGGAGGGATGAGAGGCAGCCTTTCCCCTGACTCGCTTGCTCTCCCATCTGCGTACGCTCACACTCGTCCACACAAACACACACACACACACACACACACACATGCACACACATCACCTGCTGGCTCCCTGCAGCATCCGACAGCCTCCAGCAGCAGCTTCCACTGGCCGGCTGACGCAGGCAGCCGCGGCGTCGCCACTCCGAGGAGCCGAGGAGGGAGGGAGACGAGGAGTGAAGGCGAGGAGAGGAGCCGAGGAGTTCACATGGAGTTGGGCAGGGAGGACGTGATGAGTGGGCTCAGGAGGATAAAACCAGCTGGTGTGGAGGAGGAGGTGCTTTACTGTAGCTTAGAGATGGGGAGTAGATCTGTGAATTATAATAAAAAAAACATCAGCGTGATTAGTGTGAAATGTTTCGAGAGAACAGTTTCTGGTGGATCACACATCAGATCCTGTAATAAAGCAGGGATCTGGGTCCAGGCTGTCAGAGCTCAGCTGGTAAAGACTGAAGCTCCACTGCAGTGCAGCCATTCAGACCAGAGCAGCAGCACACAGAGCTCTGCAGCCGGCACTGAAGACTTCCTGTCATTCCATTTCACTTCCTGTTAAACCCAGCCATCACCTGCCTGTCTGACTGTTAGCAAAATATCTCAGGAACCTTTAAATGGATTTTAACAAAACTCTCAAAACTTAATCATTTAATGCACATCTATAACTGATTAAAGTTTGGAGTGAGCCCAATTAAACACGGCCGCCACAGCTAAGCAAACATATCTAACACTAAAATGAATATAACTCAGTTGATTTTACAGATAATAAGCTCAAATTTAGTGTGGTAATAGCTGAGTCTTCCTCAACTTATATTTTGAGTGCTGCAACATGAGTGTCTAAAACTTTGCCGATAACTATTAGTCATTACTGTCCATTCATGAAATATCTCACATGACAGATTTTAACAAGCCTTATTGAATTATCGAACAGAAATCCACAACTTTCTGGAGACAAACTGATTTAAGATGACGACTACAGGCAATTGACTTCAGGAAACACAACTTAAGGTCCTGTCTCACTGGACAACTTATGCCAACTTATGAACATTTTAAAGTCGTCTACATTGAAGATGGAATTGAAAAAATCAACAGGAAGCTTGTTTTTGGTTTATTAGCAATTTAGGCATAAAAAAGTTTCATAAGTTGGCATAAGTTGTCTAGTGTGACAGGGCCTTTAGGCAATAACTTAAGTCAGTTGTTATAAGTCAGTTTTATTGAGCTAAAATCAACAGTGGTAGTAACTAAGATGCATTCACTGTCATTCTGTCATTTCTCAACATAAAATGTTCTTAATTTAAATTCTGTCATGAAAGTTATACAGGTACAGTCTTAATTGTTTTTCTTTCTTGTCACACAGTTTACATGAACCATGAACAGCGCAAAGAAACCTGCAAAGAAAAAAATATATAAAATATGTATATATTGTATATTTGGCCATGCAGAGACAATCAATTCTTTTTTTAGCAACAATTTTATCATCATGTGTTGAGCTGCCTGTTCCAAATCATCGCATTATGCAGAAATGGGATAAGGTGGAGGTGTTCTCAGCAGGCAATACAGTATCTTACCTGCAGTAGACAACAGGCAGCGTGAGCATTGCTTAGAGAATCAAAGAGAATTTCGTAAGGAAAAAATCAAGCTAATTGATAGACTTACTGAAGCTACTTCAATGTTTGTCATGAAAAACAACAGTTTTAAATAATGCGAAACTTTTATGACTTTTCTGGTTTTCTTTAATCTGCAATATTTTACTCTGAAATAGGTCTCAGTCTGATCAGCGCAGCTCTTCAATGAAACCAGTCATGTCTATTCCTCCATCACATATGCACAGCAGCCATTTTGGAGTTGGCATTAGGACTTTCTAAATCAAAACTGCAACTTCAGAGGGTGTTTCCACTTGAATTTTCCCAAGATGTAAGTCAGAAATTCTGATTTCTTAATCCAAATGGAGCACACTATCACCTCTGCCAACGTTATGCTTTTAGTAGTGTTGGTTTGTCTGTCATTACTCAAACAGTTATAAATGGATTTTAATTACATTTTCAAGAAATGTCGGGTCTGTCACAAGGAACAAATGTTTAAATTCTGGTGGTGATCTGGCAACAACCAACAGCACTGTATTCTGGCACAGACAGGAAGAACCAGAGGCTGCATTTCAGTGACATTAAACTACAGCCAATCAGCATCCAGGAGAAGTTTAATCCACCAATCACAGCTCAGCAGCAGAATGGGGCCTTGGTGAAGGTGTGCACTCTGAGTGCTACTATTGTGTCCTGAACTGAAGATGTTTTACTCTCCTAAAGTAAATGTGATCATTTGACAACACCCAATTACATTAAAGCACAAGAAAACTATTTGCAAACTTGTGAAATTTAATGTTAGAATGAATCGTCACATTTTTACTCGTTGCCTTAGTTCATCATCTTGATGGGCAGGACTTACTGCGAAATTCATAAAATATATTTATCAGTTTTATATTTAATACAGTGAGCTGCAGGTTTCATTTTTCTGAAGGTTCAGGCAGGTAGTTATGCCATTCCTACATCGAAACACGTGTTGACAAATTTTTTTTTAATCTATGCAGGGAATTGTTTAAAGAAGACATACATTATTAAATCCTCCATTTTCACCTTCAAATCATTCAATTTGTTTAGATTAAGTGAAACTGAACTAAATTCCTACTTACTGTAACTCCACAAGCCCCCCTTTCATCCTTTCTCTGAAGTGTCTCAGATTAGTTCGTTTTTAATTTAAACAAGTCATGTAGCTTACTTCAGATTTCACCACGTTAAATATGTTGTCAACAGGCAAAATTGGTCAATTTTGATTTTTAGGACAGATACCAAATATTTCAGCAGGGGTTAAAAATGTGAGAATATTCTGCATACGTTTATAAAAACAGTCAATTACATAAATGTGACTTTATGCACCATGTGGGTTTTTTTGTGTGCAAAATAAAAACTTATTCCAATTAAGTTAAAGGGATCCATGATTAGTTGTAACATTAAACTTTATTTGATAAACATTTATTTTAACTGTAAAATAAAGACTGTAAAAATACTGTAGGCC